GCAACTCCAACTTAAGAAATCCATCTTGGCTGGAGACCTATGTTAATTACAGAATAGTCATCAGCTTTCTTTTCTGGCATAAGTTGCATAAGTGGGTGGTGAGAACTTAGCCCCGAGAATCACAGATAACACTGATTATTCAAACCAGATCCATTCCAATCAAGCTTCTATTCATAGCTGGAAATGGAAATGGCCATGATTCTGTTTGCCTGGAAGATAGGAGGAAGTGCAACCTTGCTCATTGTCTCAGTTCTCTTCAATATCTTTGCTTTGTTGATCATGAAATCTTTCTGGGAACAATGGGAATTAAAGGCACCATATTTTGTGGCAGCTCCATTTTTATCTGGAAGTCTGGCTTTAGAAGATTCTTGCTCTATTCTTGCTCTATTCCAAAATATTGAACAGAAATCCACTTCCACCTGCCCCATACTGGTAATAGAAATTATTTGGAATGGTCTTCCCTAGTCTGATGCTGCCCAGATGTGATTCATTAACATTCCCATTTTTCCTAGTTAGCATGCCCAACTCTATGCTTGCTACAAGTTATAAGACAGGTATTTCCCCATTGCATCTAGAGAATATATTGACTGGAAATTCTGAATGATCTGACCAAGGAGGTGAACATTTTCCTATTTTTGATGGGATTACACTCTCTCCAAAGAAAGAAATTTGCAGTTTGGAGATGTTCTTCCACCCAGCCCTTACCACTGAGGTACTCACAATGGTTGGCTACTGTGAGAACAGGCTGCTGGATTAGATGGACCAGATTAGATGGACAATGTTCAGTAAGTATCTGTGGAATGAAGTGGCTTTCATTAGCTTTCTCCACCAAAGCAACTGTCATTCAGTTGGGAATATTCATGCTGTGGTGACATACAAATTAGCATCCCGCAATGCACAGTAAAAAGGACTGCCCATGAAGAGTTATATCAATATGGTATCTAGATAATTAATTGGAATTAGCCACATGGATCATTTCCCAGGAGCATGAAAAGATTGTCAGGTATTTCAGAGCATGATTAGAAGTGCTGGAGTGGAATACTGAAACTCACAGGTAGCAACAGCTGGCTACCTTTGAGCATGAGAACTTAGCAGGGTTGGGCTTGATTAGCATTTGGACAAGTGACCATCGCTTTCATACTGTTGCTGAGAAAAACGCATGGCTATGCATATGAAATCCATGGGTATTCAGCTTGGCTTGATCTTTCCCCCTGAAAACTGGAGAGCTGAAGAAACTTTTAGTTTCCAATGAACCTGCTTGGATTATGAAGTCACCTTCTTTGGATCTTCTCACTTTTGGACATAGATAGACCAGGTTGTTTGATTTCAGATCAGACCATTGATCAGATAGTTCAGTACTGTTAACAATGAGTATGTTATGTGCATAGACATCCATGGTTTCATCATGTTGGCATCATCAGACACCTATTGGCAGACCTCTATGATCATGTGATTTAGAATAAAATTTTCCACAGCTCCACCATGAGGAATTGAACCTTGAACCTTCATCATGCAAAAAAGATAAATGACACTGTGATGGCATTCTGGCTATGGAATGGTTCCTCCTTGGAGATGTTCTTTTGACTTCAGGATAAACCACATTATTTTTACTAAGCAGTCATCGATTCTTACTGCAGCTTTCAAGTTAATTGTGGACATTTATATTACATAACATCTTCACCTTAGTTTTTAAACACATCGTGAAAACCTGACCACATGGAATAATATTGATCAGTTTCTCCAGTGCATCAACAGAGAGCCATTTGCGCAGAAAGTAAAGATACATTAACAATCCAAGATTGTACATTTGGGGATCCACTGTCTTTCCAACATTGAAGAGTTATTTTTCTTCTCCTCTTTACTCCATGCTCAAAAATCCCATAAATCTTCATATAGTGATCAGTTTCAAGGCTTTGGTATCTAAGCAGAAGCACTTTAGAGGTCCAACACTTTCACTGAAATGAAAGCAGCATCACACCGTTGTACCAAAAGCTCTGCCCCACATCACATCTCACATACAAAAGGGATGGAATTTGCCTTGCATCAGCACAACGCTTTTTGTCATTTGCCCTTCCTTAGCCCACTGCTTGCAGACACCTGTGCATACTCATTGAAAGTACGTTCAAATCTTTAAACTTAAACTGTAAATCTTTCAACTGTATTGATCTTTGTATCACCATATTAACAAACCCATCAATATTAAACCAAAACAGGACAATAGTGAGACAACCTAATATTTTATGAGTAAGAACCGCTTCATCATTTTATATTTCCAAAGTAATAGGGTTGGCAATCAACCTGTTAAAACATTCTCAAGAGTGTCCAGCAAAGAGGGGAAAAGTCTTGAGCCATTGTCAGTGATGTCCAAGGACCAGAGTTCAGGTTGAGATGACCTTTAGTTATTTCCTGAGGGATGCGGACCATCATTCTCAACTAAACATCCTTTCACTACAAAGTTATCTAGAATCTTTAATAGAATGTTCCTGCAATTGGCATAAGAGACTGGGCTCCCATAATGAGTAGGGCATATTCAAAAAAGAGGGCCAAGTCATTTGCTTTTTGTCTGTATGGGATGCTCAGTGTGGGAATACAAGGAAACTGTCACCACAAGGCAATATATTCCCAGTAATCACTGCTAATGACGTTGAATTTCCCAGCCTGGAAATTCATACAATCACCATGGACTTGTTCATATATTATGCTGTACACTGACATGTTTTGTATAGTAAACCCAAAGTAGTAGACTTGGAGTTTATTATAAAATAAGACTGAAATGAATACAATGGAATACAACAGGGAGAAATGTAAATCTCTGCATACTGTAGGTAGAAAAAAAAATGTAAAGAACAAGTATGGGGAGATCAAGCTTGACAGTAGTACATGGGAAAGTGATTTGGGTGCCTTTGTCAAACATGAGCCATTGAGGTGATACAGCTGCTAAAAAACAAATGCTATCTTGGGGTGCATTTTTAGAAACATGGAGTCAAGGTCAGGGGAAGTGACTGTTCCTCTGTACTCTGTTGTGGCTATATCCATTCAAAATACTGTCCAATTCAGAACATCACAGACAAATTGAAGCAAGTTCAGAAGATGGCTACCAAAATTGGTGAGGGGTCTGGAAGCCAAGATTTATGAAGAATGGTTAAAAGAGATGGATAGTGCTGTGTTTAGTCTACAGAAAAGGCAGCCAGAGTAAACATGATAGCAGTCTTCACCTATCTGAAGGGCTATCACACAGAAGAAAGAATGGACCTACTTTCTATTGTCCTTGAGGGCAGGACCAGAGCCAATGGGTTAAAAGTAAAGGAAGGAGGTTCAGGCTAGATGTCAGAAGGAACTGCCTAGCTGTACAAGCTACCAGCCAATGGAACAAGCTGCCACATGAAAAGAGGAGTTCTTCTTCTCTGAAGTCTTCAAACAGATATGTTCTAGTGCAGGGTTCCTCAACCTTGGCGACTTGAAGATATGTGGACTTCAACTCCCAGAATTCTCCAGCCAGCCAGGTTGAGGAACCCTGCTCTACTGGATCCTGCACTGAGCAGACATTTGGACTCTATGATTCTCTATGATACATTCTCAAATTCTTTTTTTCTGTATCTAATACTTCTCTGGCTACAGTTTTCCCCTCTTTCATACCCATTCTTAGTTCTCACAAACGATTCTGATACATGTACATTTACACACAATTTAAAACAGTTACCTTCTCTACTGAATTCCTTTCCATCAACGGAGCATTATTACTGCCAAGGAACTGACCCTGTTGTCCTCTGATGAATGCACTTCCTGTTTTGGAACCATTGTGGTCAGATTGGTGCATTCCAGGAAGAAAATAGGGTGTCCCATTACCCGTTATGGAGATTAGTACAGTATATCCCTGATCAGCATCATGTAACTTACAAAAGTTGGGGATGTCTTCCACACATCTCCAAAGCTACTAATATGGGTTATTCACGGTTTTCCAATTTTTCCATACTTTTTGCTCTTCTCCCCAACTTCTAGTTGGAGATCTACATGACTCACTCCATCCCACTTGGGCACAGCTGATCTAAGCTCTAAATAAAATTCAAAATTGATTCTTTAGGATTGAAATCTTTAGCTTATTAGAGTTAATTCATTTTGAGGTCCACCAGCCATGTTCTTGAGGCACCGCTAATTGACAGCATATTTGAGAAACAGTTTGCTCCAAGTGGATCTTGATCAGCTGGCTTGAAATCTGGTTCTCTCATCCCTAGTTTCCAAGAAGTATTCTCTATGCAGCAATGCCATATTCACGGGTGCCAACTGATGAATCAACCTTCTCCTTTGGATTCCACCATAATCACCTGGCATTTATTCTCATTGTTAGGACCCATACATGACCCAAAGATCATGTCAAGCAGTTCCATTTCAGTGACTTGTATTCAAATAAAAAGTGATTATTTCCCATACTGCATACTTTGCAAACGACAATCTCATTTTTAAGTTTTCAGTGCCTTACAGACAAAGCAGGATACTAAATATAAGAGAGATACATAGCAAAATAACCTACCTAGTAAAACAAGAGACAGGCAATCTTTTTATAACTGGGGGGCTATAATTTTTAATATAGGTTTTCAGGACCCCAAAGCTGGAGAGGACATGGCAACAAATCAGTGATAACTGGAGCCATTTTGTGTTTTCTAGTGTCTGGGTCATTTAAAAGACAAAATAGGTGTATTGCAATTAGGAAAGGTTTGACCTACTTGTTTTATTAACAGCACCCCTTTAAAACATAGCAAAATTACTCTTCAGATGGGACATTTGCTGCTGAGTTTTACTATGTGATCCTGGAGTGCTCCCAAGAATTACTTGGCTGTGGAGCTGTGAGGACTATATGCAGATGGAGGCCACCTGTGATGTACAACAGAAGGAAAACATACAGGCGGTCCTCACCTGGAGAGGTCGTTAAGCAAGACATCACATGACCACGGCTTGCGATTTTACTGCTGGCTTCTCCATTGACTCTCCTTGTCGGAAGCCGGTCGTGAAGTGCACAAATGGCAATTGCATGATCGCAGGACACTGCAACAGTCATAAGAGCAAGGACCAGTCGTAAAGTTAGTTTTTCAGCACTATCGTAACTTCGAATGGTCGCTAAACAGGACAGTCATTAAGCAAAGACTACTTGTATTACTAATGCCTGGGTAGGATCAGAGGTGTCAAAATCTACAAGACGGCAGAGGTGGTACTGTGATCAAAGCCCCATTCCTTTTATACAAGCAGGAGGAAATCTATTGCGGTTGCTAAGAGTTGACACCGACTTGTTGGCATATAATCATCAGTCATACAAAAGGGACTTCAATCACAATGTTATGCCTGCCATCTTGCAGATCCTGAGCCCTCCCTGCAGATGCCCCCGCAGCCTGCTCAAAAGCAATGAAGTAGGGTTGGTTGCAATTCACCCTTTTCATGACAGTTATACCAGAAATAAGAGGGTGGTGTCAGATGCAGTATTTTCAAAATAGTATAGCTGTTTGCAAATCCAGCAGGAATCACCCCAAAGCCCCCCCCCTTTTTTTGTCCTACATAAGATTAAACTGCCAATTTTAATTGGTAACCAATTAAACCACAAATCCCAGTTTTGCACATTTGGACAAAAGTTGTGGCTGATCAGCAAAGGGATCTTATCCTGTGTCTCAAGGGCAGTTTTGCAATTAGAATTTTTTAGGGTTTTTTTCCCTAAAAAGAGGAAGGATGAATGTATAAGAAACATACTGTACGTTCTACACTTGGAATTAAAATAATGAAAATAGGGTAAACGGGAAATCAAAAGCATGAAAAGCACATTTGCGCCTCCAGAATCCATTCATCTATATCTTTATTGTTCACTGGGAAAAAAAGTGAATATAGTTCATGAGAGGAGATCATTTTGTCAATAATATTCTGCTCTGGGAGCAATTGCTTGGTCTGGTTAAGGGTTTTAATCAATGGCTGAAGAGCCATCAGAATGATCTGTAGGCCAGGACATTGAGCATTTGACCACTCTTTTGTGCTGTCCCTTTTACAGATATAAGAAGCGATGGGCTGTTCTTTTCTTAAAGCACTGGTCAGACCATGATCGAAAAAGAGAACTAAGAAAGAAAAATGCTTTCCGCAGTTCTAAATAATAATGGCAATCCTTATATAAAAATAAAATCGGGAGGTGAGCTTGCAAGCAAAATTATTCTGTAGTTTGATGGCAACAAACCTCTCTTCATATTGACCTTTTGTCAATTTCCCTTGGAACAAGCATAACATTTGCTCTCTAAATATGTTCGCTACTGGTAAATGTTTAAATACACCAGAGAAATTGGAGCCTTGTGTTCTGTTTTTTTCTGTAAAGGCAGGCACATAAATCAAGAATAACACAGTTATTCTCCCTTAAAACTCAGCAAAGCCACAGAAAAGGGCTCAATATTGGGGCTCTACCCAGCTGGGAACTTTGGGGGTGCTCTAGAGATGACTAATGGGGTGCTTGGGGTTAACTGCTGCCCCATGGATTTACTCATTTAAGACCCTTAAGTCACCTGTTTCTAAAGACAGCCACCTATCCCAGGTAAAAAAGGGACAGGACTTAAATTACAACGTGACAGCCACCATTTTGACTTCGTTTTAGGCTGCTGCCTGTGGACTCTCCGGGGGTGTCCACATCAGGGGTGTGAGTCAAAATCTGCAAGATGGCAAATGCACTGTTGACCCCAAAGCCCCACCCTGCAACTGAAGCCCTGCCCCATTTGCAATGTCACACCTGCCATCTTGTAGCTTTTGACCTCCCCTGCATCTTTCAAACCTTTCTATATGGCTTCTCGCTGTCCAGAATCCCAACGGAGTTTAACATACAAAACGGAATGAAAACCATGGTAATGAGAAGACAGAAACAACCATTAAATGTGAAAATCAACACAAAGGCATTTAATAGCTGGGAAAGACAAGAAAAGACATCTCAGGGTTGGAGCAAGTGAATCCCAGAGAGGAGATTATTTTATAGGACAAGGTGCCACCAGAAGACCCACCTTTGTGACACTCTCAAACAGCAGACTAGGAGCTTCGACAGATGGCTGGTCTACCTCTGAAGCTGGATGATATCTAGGAGGATAATAACATTCATGTAACCTAGCTCCACATTGTTCAGAGGACCAGATTAATACATTATATTAATATGTTAATAGGCTCCAGCGTATATTAATCTATTTATTGTGTCTATTATTTCAACTTCATTGGCTAAATTACATGACTTGGTTTTGATTTAAATAAAAATGCACCGATGAAATGTACTCCCTATTAAATTGCTGTTTGTGACAAATTTAGCTTATGTTAATCAAAGCACGGTTTATGAAAGCTTTTTCCTTAATAATCAAATTGCACATTAAAGAACAGTGCCTGATGTTTTGCTAGGATTAGAATACTTCCTATGGGCCTTATCAATAAAGCTGAACCATAGTGTTTTACAAGGTTACTTAACTTGCTACTTAAAAAGGTTGTTAATAAATGTAAGTGCCATTATATAAGGATGTGTCATCATGCGGTATCTTCAGAATTGTTGCTAAATACTGGGATTGAATTATAAGAGCGTCAACTGATCTTGGGAATGAATTCTAGATTTGTCCAGAAAATGGGAAAATCTGCAGAGGACTGGAAAAGCACAAAGCATGGGCTGATCTAACAACTAATTTCAGTCTGGGAGCTATGCAAGATCAGGTTTGGTTTAATACTTGGATGGGAGACCTCCCATGAATATTAATGATGCTGGCTAGATGGGGAAGAAGAAGAATGGAATAGAAGTCACTTCCATATTGCTATCAAGAAAGCCCTACACACGGGCATCCACAGGACGAGTGAAAAAAGTCAAGAGAAACAATGGGTGGAGATTCGTTCGCACCATCCTGGCTGCCATCTTGGCTTTTTTGACTGCGCCTTGCAGACCCCCCTGGGCCAGGTGCTCAAATTCAAGTCCTCCTGAACCTCTGAGTTGACTGAATGACTAGAGAATCGTTCTCTCTCAACCTAAAATGTTGAAGTATGAGTTGAGCGATGCATAGGTCAACTTGAGTGCCCATAGAATGGGGATGATTGGGACTGGCAGGGAGTGACAATCAACTGCATGTGGGGACAGGTCCTAGCAAGTGCAAGAGGCACACGGGCTGGAGCCTTATTCCTTTGGAAACCTGGAGTGGGAAGGACAATGACATCGCCAGCGAGCACTGCCGGTTGCCCTCCACAGCGCAGTTGGGTTCAGGTGCTCTTGCTTGGCCCAAACAGGCCCACATTGCGGGCAAGGCACATTGGGCCTTCCTTCTTGACAGCAACCAGAGGGGGCAGGGACATGGAAGAGAGCGAGGCTTCGATGGTGGTGCAGTCACAGCTGCCATCCTGACTTTTATGACCACCCTCTGTGGACACCTGAGACGGGTCCCTGCTTTTTTCCAAAGAGAGCTCCGATCCCACCATCTCAGTTCCTGAACTTCTCTCACACCAGCGTGGTTAGCAGCACGTGTCGCGGTTGTGGTAGGTCATATGTACGCATGCACAGCTATTAATTGCAGATTTCCAGCAGAGTAAACTCCTCTGATGTCACCTCTGTCCAGTGAGTAAGCTAGTTCTCTGCAGCGGTTGGGCAGCTGGATTATTCGAGTGGATCCCTTCCCACTGCACCACCGTAGATTCAGGCCATCCGTTCTCCAACCCCGTACACAGAAAAAGCCCAGAGCCATTAAATAACAGACCTCGGTTGCCTCTGAGCATGTGCAGAGCTCTTGCCATTCTATGCAAAAGAACCCTTGGAGATAAAAGCTGCTAAGGGAAAGGGAGAAGACCCTTAGGCGCACCCTCCCTCTCCCGCCCCCAGGATCGCTCTGTTCTGGCTCCGTCCTTGCCAGGCGCTGCGACGTAGCCTTCTCCCTAGCCCATCCTCCCGTGCCGAACCTCCTCCCCTCTCTAGCTCATCCCTGCTTGAAGCGGGGCGGGGGGGGGGGGCGCTCCCCTGCTCAGGAATCCCCCCCCCCCCCGCCCC